AATCCTCTTATATTAAGAGGTAAAACTCCCTGAACATCTCAGGAGAACGCACAATGAACTCTTAATAATAATTCTTATTACTGAACTGAAAGCCAAACAAGTGAAATAGTCATCAATATTGCCTCAATGGCTAGGTGCAAAAATTCACCAAAATATCGAATTCGGTTACAATATGAAATGTTGCCTTTTATTCAAAGACCAAAGGCTGCAAACAATGGATAATGCATTTTGGTTAGTAATATTCTAAAGGCTTTCACCTGTCAACCTTACATGTTCCGAAAATCTTCCTTTTGTCGGAGTTGCTTCAAGTTTCTTTACTTCCAGAAGTTATAATAGTAGAAATAAGAAGTAGAGAAAAATAGAGATTGAGTCGTTATTGCTCAACTGGAGAGGGGTGTCTTACAATGTGTATGTATGTTAGCACAACACTAGCAGAGGATCAACCAGCTTTAACTTTATCCTTGGTACTTTCTGCATGACTGATGCTAAAAATACTACTTAATCCTCGTGTTTTGGAATGTCGCTCCAGTTCATCGATTCTGTTCTTGAGGAACTCAAGCTCTCTACTAAGGTCATCGTCTCGCTGTTTCAATGCCTATGAAAGGAAAACAAATTATGATTTGAGTTTTACATGGAAACAGAACATTGCGCTCTATGATTTCAGCACAAGAAAATCACTATTATGAATGTCGATATGCACCTCTAGTTCCTTCCTCCGAACTTCCTCCTTTCTAGCTTCAGATCTGGAACTTCTTTGCACCTCAAAGATAACGGCCACTCCAGCGACCTGAATAAACAGATAACAAAAGCATATTGATGGTATTCTGCCTTGGTGGTTAAAAAAAGAAGAGAAGACTGAACAAAGTAATTCATGCAAATCTCCACACTACACATGACTAGATAATTGGTGTGTTATGCACTGAAAGAATATATTAGGTTAAGAGGACCATCTACAATGTTCTGTTGTAGATTAATTAAATCAACTGCAATTTTCAATCCAGTATCCGGTTAGGCTAAGGCAATTACTCTTCAGATAACAAATGTGCAGCGAACAAAAAGGAGAAGGAATAACAAAGATGATGCCACAACAGCCCTTCATGATGCTAACTTCACTCAACTCAACAAGTCATCTTGAGCAGTTGGAATTGAATGCATCAATTGCCATCTAGGATTTCTTCTAGAGCAATAGTAAATCAGTATTTGTAGTTAAATAAAGATGTATCTCCTCACTTTTAAGTGCAAAATGGCTTCAATTAGTGATGCAGAGCTGTGCTTGATCTTTTTAGCACATTACAAAATATATAATTGTTGCTAGTTGCACATACTACTCAGAATCTTCTTAATGCTGGCAATCTACAATACTATTTTTTACTGATAAAAGCAGAATGCGTAGGTTTTTGTATTCGTACTTGGGGACCATTTGATAATCCTACTAGACAAGTTTGATAATAGAAACATCAAATCATCCGATACCACGTCAAATGCTTTCAAACTTGAACATTGTCACCGGAACTAAAAGTTTCTAATCATTAGATATCACTTCCTTCATCCCAATTTCTTTGTTTAGTTTTCATTTGGCACAATAGAAAATAAAATTGAACTATGAACTTAATATCTGTTAAGAAACAAGTGCAGTCATCCTATTAATTTGTGCAGCAAAATGATAGATTAGATGAGTACCCCTGGCGTGGCCTAGAGGATGGTAAAGCTGGAATTGAAACCATAAGAGAATAAGGTTCAAATCCCAGTAGAAGAAAAAATATAGGTGATTTCTTCCTATCAGCCAAAACATCAGTGATCAGAGTTACTCTTTACATGTAGGGGTGAAATATGTTGGTACCTGGCAAAATAATCAAGGTGCTTACAAACTAACCTGAACACGCTCAGAATTTTGGTTTCTAACATACGCTGCCATGTAGCAATATTTGTTTAGTGTACTGACCCCTAATCAAATTATTTGGACTCAGAAGAGGAAAACCTGTTTTATCTATGAATAGTGATCAAATTGGCATATTACCAGATCACGCCCCTATTGCCACAACTATAGATATAGTGACTCGAAGAATAAACCTTAGTGGCCGATGTAACGATAAGCACATTTTGAACCGAGATCAGGTGTTCAAAAGGTTGAACCCTTCGAAGAGGAATCTCAATTTTCTGGGGAAGTTTGAGGGAGTCAATGTACTCAACCTAATTGAAACACATAACATGACCACTAACATAAGAATATTAGACACATTTAAGTCAACGTCTTTAGTGCACATGCATAAAGAAGACAATTAGCAGTACCACAAATTAATACTATTTGAAATACTTATGAATTAAAAGATTTATATTATTTTGCGAAACTTGAGCCGGGGGTCTATCAGAAGCAGCCAATCTACCCGACAAAGGTAGAGGTAAGGTCCCCGCACATCCAACCCTTCCCAGAAGCCCATCTCAGGATTACATTAGGTATGTAGTTGGAGCAAAACTAATGTCAGACAGCCTTCAGTATCCAGATAGCACTTCTAGAAACTAGTGGGTTGAACGAGAACAAGCCCCTATTCTGAAGCATAACATGCCATGCCTTCTCATTGCATCTAGAATATCAGACTAAGTTCGGGACTAATGACCTTCCTGCTATGGTCTGTTATGAACATATGAAATAGAATCGACAGCTCTATCACAAGTGGAATAGGACATAAAAAGGGTGTTCTCATTGATAAACAAATCAGCATTTCGTAAACATCACCATGTCCATGATGATACATAATAATTATCCCAACTGAAAATAATTTGATATGAAATATTTGTGTAACAGAACAAATTAAGGACCTAGAGACAACATTACCGAGAACACAAAGAGTTCACCTAGGAGATCAGCAGCAGCTTGAACAGCTTTATCTTCATTTAATGGGCGAATTGCCACATCAGTTGCATGACCATATATACGTCTTTGCAATTTAGTTGACAGTCTATGGTTTGCCTGCGGAAAAGAAAAAAGAAAGAAATCAAATGTGTACTGTCCATTAGTTTCCAATTCTGATGATCTTCAGTTTCAATGCCCAAGAGAAGGAAGGAATCATCAAGTGAGATCACACATTTCAGAAAGATAAAGCAAGATCGAAATACACTTAAGAGCCATGGCAAGACCGATTTGAGGATCTTAACTAGTATATGGATGTTAATAATCCGTGTTAATATAAATGCATTGAAGAACACAACAAACAAAAGTTGCTCAATTAAAGCAGTCGCAATAATCCTATTTATTCTTTTCAGTATATAGTTCTGCCGGCAGAGCGACTATAAGTCCAACCTACAAGAATCAATTGGTTTTTGTCACTTATCTCTTCATCTTCCAATTTCTAAGCCATAACTTACTTCAACGTGTTCAACTTCCCATAGAATCACAAATTCTCACTCACTACTTCAATAGTCTTCCCCAGTCAAACATGATTTAAGAAATCTATTTTTTTGCATCTTAGTTTCTATAATCAACTAAAAACACTTAGAATCCTTTGATCTTTGCAACTTTTGACCATCAAAATGTATTTTATTTAAATATCATCCCACACCATTAGCTAACTCCATGAGGATAATCAACTATTCATCTACCTATATTCTTTGTAGCTCAGTTATTTAACTACTTGAACTATCACCTTGTTGGTGCAAAGTGAGGGTTCTATTATCCATTTTATAATCTCCTCCCCATTTCCCTCACCCCAAAAAGAAAAACTTCAACTTCATGTACTGAGCTCAGCCAAGCACAAACTCAGAGGTTCTTCTTAAAGGTTGTTTACCATTTCATAAAAATCCAGCTCTTTATATACAACAAACTTTTTCATATCATAACAAATTACCACTAGCTAAAACTCATACAATAGCTACGCAAACAAAAACCCACAAATAAAAAATGATTTTTAGGGCAAAACTGAACCTGGGCAATGTTGATGATGAAATTTCTGAACCTGGGGTGATATCCAGCCTCTTTCTTGATTCGATTACCGATAGGTTTACAGAAAGATTTGAGGGCAAGTGTGCCAAGCTTAAACACTGGTAATATCATCAGATCTCACTTCCCAAAACAAACAGAGAAATTTTTAGAGAGTTAAGAAAAAGTATTGAAGAAAACACAAAAGGGTTTTGATCACTCTGAAGCTCTCAATCATGGAGAGTGGAAAGAAATAAAAGTGAAAAATTGAGATAAAACATAAATATCAAATTCAAATTCTAAATTTTTTTTATATTACCTAAAATACTAATTAACAATTGAAAATGTATGTAAGGAAATTATAATTTTAAAAAATGTGATTATTTTTAAAATTTTAATTATGTCTTATTAATTATCATGAATGGAATAATATTTATATGTTTTATCTATAACAAGAATTAAACTTTTTTTTTTTTTAAAAAAAAAAAGCATGTTAAAATAGAAATATAATCAAGTAATTTAATATTTTTTTTAGCACATTTCCTAAAATTTAGAAATTTATGTTTAAACGGAGTTTATATTTTAATCCTACTTCGAAAATTGAATCTTTTTGGAACTTTTATATTTAAACTTAAATGTTAAAAAGAATTATCTTTCAATTCAAATCAAATGTAACCTAATACTAATATTGTGTTGAAGTAAAAAATTTAAAGAATATAACCATATCAAATTATGATATGACTTGTGCTTGTTTGAGGAAAAGCAAAAATAATTTTTTGCAATGAATAGTTCTATCTTCTATGTTATTTTTCATGATGTATATCAGTAATAACGAAAAAATTCATTTATGTAATAATTAAATTTAGTATGATTGTGTTATTACTTTGATATTAATTTCTCATTTATTTTTAATTATTATTTTTTTAAAATCATATTTCATTTTCTATCTTACCGAACTCTATTCTATATCCTACTTTTTTTTAGGGTCATCACTCAAATTATAGGTGTATGACATTATGTAACGACGGAGAAAGATACATCATATCCAAACATTATATTCATTAAAACAATATCATACAAAACAATACAACACTATAATATGATATATTATGAAATAATACGTAACAAAATTATCCAAACAAAAGTGTAAGTATATTCGATCTATATATGATTAGTAGGGATAAGGCAAAGATCAATCTTCTTATGCACTACAATTCCAGGCTTACCATTTGTATCAATATCCTCTTTTTTCATCCCACCAGGCAATTCCCAATCAAATGCATAAAGAAGATTTGACAATGGCATTGCAACACCAAGTGTAATCCTCTTCTTCCTGCTCCAAATGGAATTAACTCAAAGTCTTGCCCTTTAGATTCAATATCGTTATTCAGAAATCTCTCGGGAATAAATTCTTCTGAATTTTTCCATATCTCAGAATCTCTTCCTATAGCCCAAATATTAACATGAATTATGGCTCCTGGCTGAATTTCATACCCTTCTAGTGCGGATTTTTCAATTGATGTTCTTGGCAATAGAAGAGGAATTGGTGGATACAATCTTAATGTCTCCTTTATAACTGCTTTGAGACAATGCATATTTTGGATGTCATCTTCATTCACAAACCCTTCTTTTTTTTTCCAACTAATTTTCTGATTTCTGATTGAACTTTCTTCATGGCTTTTGGATTCTTCATCAAAGATGTCATTGCCCATACTATTGTAGATGCACTAGTGCCTGATCCTATTACATTCTACAAGAAATTAACACACACAAAAAAAAATATACACTTCATAAAATTAGTTAGTTTAATTAAATTAGGATGAATCTTCTTAAAACTCATTTGTTTGTAGGTAGGTTTAAGATTTAGGAGATTACCATGTCAAGTGCTTTTATATTAATTGGTGTTGATTTCTCTTTCTTGAATTGGAGCAAAAGATCAATAATGTCCCCTTCCATAGATTTTGGCTTATTGGGATCAGAGATGTTGCTCAATGAGTTCGGTATAAAACTAATCCAAATCCTTGAAATTCTTATCGAGTCTATCAGTCAATCCAGAGAGCTTATCAATTCAATTTAAAGAAGGAAAAAAAACAGAGACAAAGAAGCTAGCCAACAATGCTTCAGCCTCTGCTAAAAGCTCATCAAACCTCCTCTTTTCATGTGCTTCTTCATCATACCTAATACCAAAAGCAACTCTACAAATAATTATACTCGTTAGTATAATCACTATATTACTCAAATTGGTGATTTGTGAAGTGATAGCCTTTTGCGTTATTTTCTTAATCATTCTTGAAATTTCATTTACACGAATTGAACTAAATGATCGCACTTTTTTAAGACTAAATAAATGAATAAGAAAAACTTTTCTCTTTTCCCTCCAATAGTTCATCATAAGGTGCAAAACCAATATCTTAAATAAAATTTCTTTTCCAAAATAATTTTATTCTATTTTTTCTTATTTATTTTTCTGCTATCTTATTTAAATATAATTATCTTTTTAAATACAAGTATTAAAATTATACATTTACATTTTACAATTGATAGCTTAAAAGTAACCACAATCTTAAAAATTTAAATCGATCACTAATCATGTCTATTACGTAAATTAATCTCCCAAAAGTTTAAACAATCATGATAGAAAAAAAAAACAATTTGTTCTAGTGCCTTTAATATCAATTCTCCAATTCAAAAAGTGAAAAAGTCCCCTTCTCACTAGTTTGCTTTTTTGGTCTCTTTTGATATTACAATTGTATGTGAAGGACTAAAGGTATATTGTTTCTCCTTTTTTTTCTTGAACCAATCCAAAGATTTTGACAGTTTATTGCATTGAATTGAAAAAAAAAATTAATCTATGTTGATGAATTTTAGCTTGCAATTACGCTTTTTGGTTGACATGAATCCGCCACTAATCGAAATCCCACGTAAAACATGTAATACAAGTAAGTATTTGTTTACCATTGAAACTTAAGTGTTAAGTCTAACAAGAAAGTAGACATTAAATAATTTAACGTTGTAATCTAAAGAAGTAAACATGGGATTTGTATTTCTCGGGGGTGGCTCGACACTATAAAAAAAAGAAATATGCCTTAGGCCCTCAAATTTAAGGAGCCTCATTTTTAATAATAATAGGTTACAAGTTATTATTTATTTAACAAATATTGAATACTATTTGTAGAAAAAGTAAATTTTCATGAAAATGAAAAAATTATTAGAAGAAATTTGGCATATTTGGAGTACTATATCTCTTGAAAAATAATTTAAATAAGAATGATTGTATTATCAATTGAAAACTAGAAGAAATTAATTATATAAAAGTTATTAACAATTAAAATTTAAGGCCCTGTTCAATTTTTGCTTCAGACAACTAATATGTTTGAACCGCTTCTAATATTTCTCCAAAAAGAACCTTTTCTTTATTTATTAAGATAAAAATAAAATCTACGTGTACTTATTATTCTTTCCAAATTTCATGTGAATATGTTATTTGTCATTAATGTTGCTCAATCTAAACCAAGATATGACTAGTTGACAACAAACATTGTAGAGTAATTTGGTAAAATGAAATAATGTTATGACTAGCCAATCAAAGGACGACACATCATATTTTTTTGATAAAAGGAACAAAGAAATGTGAGAATATATATATATATATATATATATATATATATATATATATATATATATATATATATATATATATATATATGCTTATGCCTACTGTATTTGTAAATGAAGATATGTGGCAGAATGACATTGGAGAATCAACAAGCCCTCACTCTCATTCATTAATGCTCAAGAAGGTGATTGATGCAACCATTCTTAAAGAAAAAATATCTTTCATTTAAATACGGATGATTTTTCATCCTTCTATTAAATATCGTTAAAAAATTAATGAATCTTACAAAAATATGAGCAGTTCACTGAACTATCTACAAAAGCTTTCATGCATAATTTTGTTACATGCTATAAAGTTCTTGAAAAAATATATTAAAAATATTAAACACTACTGCTTAATGAAACAAAAAGTGTTTGAAGGTGCGAGAATACATGATGTGTTCTTTTTCTCATTTGATAGCGAAAAAAAACTGAAACTTAATTACCTTTACCTTATTCTTAGCCGATATGTATTAAGATTAATAAATATTTGGATGAGTCTAATATAAAAGTGATTAAAATGTTGATTGTCTCGCATTTGAGTTTCATTCCACATTATTAGTTAGAAGAAGAAGTCTCCAACAAATGCCGCTTCCAGCATATTCAATTGAGAAGAAACATATTTCAGCCAATAATATTTTTAATATCAAATTACATGAAAAATAAATGATAAAACTGTCAATTTAAATTTTTTTGCATAATGCTAAATTCAACTGTTGAAAAAGTTCACAATAGTATTTTTGAAATATCTAAAAATAATAATTGTGAAGGAATGACTTGATTTTTATAGAATGTGTTAGTTTTCTGAATTTCTTGGGGTATAGTTGAAGGATGACTTTGGCCAAAACTCCATTTATTAACGCTCGATAAGGTGATTGATGCAACCATCTCACAGGAAGCTGATAATAAAGAAGATAAAACTTTAAATTCTAAAGGCCGATTCACAAGTTTTAAAATGGAAAAATTTGAATCCATTTCAGATTATTGTTAAAAGTGATATTGTTGTAAATCAATTAAGAAGGTATGGAGAGGAAGTAGATGATGTGTTCGTGGTAGAAAAAAATGGAAAAGAGCCAAAAACACTTGTTTACTTTCGTCTATTTGTAAATAGTTATACTATCAGATCAAATATACCCACGTCATTACTAAAATATGTTGGATTTTATTTGCCCTGATTTCTTACCATAAATAGGTTTTTCTTTTAGGAAAAGGTTTTGAATTCACTAATCCTTTTTTGGTAGGAAAAGGTTTAGGACTCTATAAATAGAAGTATGTTCCTTCTAACTTAATCAGCATTCACAATGTAGTCTTAAGGGTTTTGAGAGTTTTGGTTAGGGGGAGAAATTGCGGGTCACAAGATTGATACGTTATCACTTGTGTGACCCTCCCATGTATTCCGAGTGAATTGGTTGAGGTTGTTTTCCTTTGTATTTTGTACTCTCATATTTATGGTGGATTGCTCATCTCCTTTGCGGACGTAGGTCGATTGACCGAACCACGTTAAATCTTTGTGTCTTTTGGTATATTTCTCGTTGTCTTCTTACTCATGGTCTTTCGAGGTTTGCTTTGCTAGCTTCCGCGTTTACACCTGCTTATTTTCAATCCTAACAAGTGGTATCAGAGCCAGATTCAATGATGGAGTCAGGTTTAGTGGTTCGATAATCGATGATTGAACCAGGTTAGAAAGAGGTGTTCATCTTGACGGGTGTAGCTGTAGTCGCAACCTTTTTAACAGTAACGAAGATTTTGTTGGAGAAATTGTTTCAGAGAGGTTCTCTGTGTTGAGACATAAATTTTGCAAAGGAGATTAAGGAGAGGAGAAGCAAGTTGTTGAAGATTAAGTAAAGAAGGTGGACAAATTTATTTTGTCAGAAATTCAGGCCAAGGGGGAGATTTGTTGGGTTTTATTTACCCTGATTTCTTACCATAAATAGGTTTTCCTTTTAGGAAAATGTTTTGAATTGACTAATCCTTTTTTGGTTGGAAAAGGTTTAGGTGAGGCATGTTCCTTCTAACTTAATCAGCATTCACAATGTAGTCTTAAGAGCTTTGAGAGTTTGGTTAGGGGGAGAATTTATGGGTCACAAGTTGGATACGTTATCACTTGTGTGAACCTCCCATGTATTCCGAGTGAATTGGTTGAGGTTGTTTCCCTCTGTATTTTGTACTCTCATATTTATAGTGGATTGCTCATCTCCTTTGTGGACGTAGGTCGATTGACCGAACCACGTTAAATCTTTGTGTCCTTTTAGTATATTTCTCGTTGTCTTATAACTCGTGATCTTTCGAGGTTTGTTTTGCTAGCTTCCGCATTTACACCTGCTTATTTCCGGTCCTAACAAAATATTCATAAAAGGAACCCTTATTCGAATCAAATCAGCCAAGATAACCCGATTTCAACGTTCCCCAACATTTAACCTGACCCAAAATCCAACTTAGTAAATATCCCACCCCAAACACCAATTCATATTTGTTATATTATAAAGATGTTTAGAAATTATTATACCAAGATATAATAACCAAATTATAAACTTGGCTCAGCTTGACTAACACCTCTTCACAAATGTTATGTATAAACATCTGCTCAATGTTAAAATTCCATTTTAAATCATGTACAATTGTTATACATGTACACACACAAACTAACTTCAAAACTTTCTCAATAACATGTATTTGGATAATGTAGCAAACAATCATATATGTGGATACAAAGACATGTTTGTGGGAGATCAGTAAGATGATGAGATGTAATGGTTTTTTCGAGATACCTCAAAGATTCAAATTGAAGACGTAGGTGCTGGCAATGTTGATGATGAAAGTTAGGAACCTCTTTTCAGCTCCGGGTACTCTTTTAGGTGGAGCCTTGTGCTTCCATGTTATCATGTTGTTAAGCCCTTCATTCCGAGCACCCTCTTCGCCTTTGAGGTGGCGACTGGAAGTCCAATCCTTGAACTCCTTAGCTAGGCTAGGTGTGCACGTTCTTGAGACATCTTGGGATGTATGAACATATCCCTAGCTTAAACACTGGGTCTGGTAGTATCATTCACACTTCCCAAAACACCAGTTTGCCCATTTCTCCAAAGGAAAGCCCACAAGCAGGGGCTAGCATTTCTAAGCAAAACTACCACTAAAGATATTAGCAATTTTAATAATGATAGCGCTGAAAATTTAATAACTGAAACATATCTTCTATTCCTTCTAGACACTCTTGTTTACCAACAAAAACAATGTTGAAGTCCACATACCTTAAGAAAAAGAAAGGACCTCTATCTTCACAGATTCCGCCCCTTTTCCTTCAAACAACAGGAGGATGCATTATAAATAATCCATTTGGTTTTACCAATCTTGACTCCATGCCAGTCAGGCAAACGATCTTGGACTATGACAGAACCAAGCTCCATGCACTAGATATTTTGAACAATGAAAGGCATGTGCCACAAACATTGAACCAACTCAGAGTGTAGGTTTAGAGTATCAATAGTGTTTTCCCAAAAATAATACTAGCTTGCCAAGCTCTTGGCCCTCGTTAGGATGTTAGTCTAAGTCAAGCTAGCTTTCAAAGAAGCTGCCCCACCAATTAAAAAGAATAAATTATAAGAGGAAGAGAGTTTTTCCTGAGTATCTCTGCCAAGTGAGTCCAGAACATCTGCATGGCTAGAGAGGATTGTCTTCTTGTAGTATTTGACAGTCAGCTAAAGGCAAATTGTTTCTGCACTAACAATCCTATTTAGGCCATTCCTCAAATAGTTCTGGTTATTATTCAAACAAGTCAAACGTCCTGCCTCGCCAATTTTGAGACTGCCAAACTAGAAATCAAAAAAATTAGCTAGGAGATCAAGAAAGTATTTGTGGCAGTTAAGGCTGTAAAAATAGATAGCTATAAAGTAAAACCAAGAAACAGTATCCATTAGCCTAGTGCTCTCCAGAAAGTCTGCATACCTTTCCAAACAACAGAGATCTTCAATGCAGCTCTATCCCACGGAGCCCATACTTAATTCTGGGAAAATCTTTATGGTAGAAAGACGATGCTACTCAAAGTAACTCCTAACCAGAATATGCTTGTTAGTTGTCTAAACACTTGCTAGCTTCATCTCCTTCTGTAAGACCTGCAATTCAGTATGCAAGCGTTCATTCTGAGGATGCGACGAGGAACCAGCCAGAAATTCATGCACTACTCCATCAACGTTGATCCAGCTACATCCTGGCTGCTTTACAACTCCTTTTTCCTTCATAGACAACCTCAGCCGTGAAATAGCACCCCAGTGATGATCAATGGCATATGTATTGGACAACATCACATAGCCAGCAGAATTGTTAGGGTCCACTTCAACAAGAATGGAGGAAATAATCCGGGCCAATTCCAATCTGTTATGTAGCATGCAGCCACCAAGTAAAGCTCCCCATACAAAATTATTGGGTTTAAAAGGCATTGAGGTAGCAACTTGAAGTGCTTCCTCAACATAACCTACTCGAGCAAGGAGATCAATATAGCTAGCATAATGTTCCAATCTAGGAGCAATTCTAAAACATTGGCTCATTTCCTTAAATATTTGACGGCCTTCTGCTGCCAGCCCTGCGTGACTGCAAGCACATAGCAAACCAAGGAACGTCCCAGCATTTGGACGCAAATTGAGGTCAAGCATTTGTGAGAAAAGTTTTAACGCCTCCTTACCTTTACCATTTACTGCAAGACCCATGATCATCGCATTGAAAGAAACCACATCTTTTACAAACAATTGGTCAAAAACATCCTCTGCTCTCTCTAAACTCCCGCATTTAGAGTACATATCTATCAAAGCAGTTGCAAGATTTGCATTTGAAAGTAAAAAGCTTTTTTGCCTACTACCTTGCATGTACTCATGAACCCACACACCAAGGTTCAAATCACCAACTTGAGTACAAGCTGAGAGCACACTAACCATTGTCACATGATTGGGGCAACAACAATTAAGCTCCATCATTAACCGGAAAACACATAAACCATCCAGAGCACAGCCGTTCTGAACGTACGCGCCTATCATAGCATTCCAAGGAACCAAACTTCTCTTCCCATCACCAGAAATCTGTTCAAATATTTCCCTACTCTTATCAACCTTTCCCCACTTCCCATATAAGTAAACAAGAACAGTATTAACTGAGTCACATCCAGAACATCCCAAATCATACTGTTGCATTGAATACCAAAAATTCCCAATCCATCTCTCAATATTTAACATATCAAGTTTTGAACATGCAGATAAAACATTAATCATAGTATCATTTTCAGGGATCAAACTCTTCTTTACCATACATAAAAACAAACCCAAAGCTTCTTCAGACATACCAAACTTAGCATACCCAGAAATCAAACAAGTCCAACAAACAACATCCTTCTCAGGCATTTCATCAAATACCTTACGCGCAGAATGTAATTCTTTCAAACCCCTGGCATAAACACTTAACAACCCATTACATAGAGATGGGTCCTCACCAAATCCCAATTTCACAACAAGGGTATGAACCTGTTGAACATAATATGAATTCCCAGAACGAGAACAAGCTTTAAGAAGAAAAGAAAAGGTCAATTCATTAGGCAAAAGGGACTGGCCCCTCAACTTGTTAAATACCAAGAATGCATCAGTAAAACTTCCTTCTTCACTTAGTATTCTAATAATAGCGTTAAAGGGGAATATGTTGGGTATCTTTAGCTGATGAAATATACGAAGAGAAAAGTTTGATGGGTATTGACCAATAAGGCGAGTAGCTATGAGGTTGTCTTGATGAGCACCAATACGGAAAACCCGAGCATGGATTTGTCGAAGGTGATTATGGGTAATACGGCCTTTTAAGAGGTTCCAGAGAGATGAAGAATGGAGATCAGAAGTTGAAGAGAATGAACGGGTAAAGTTGAGGCAATAATGAGCTATTATGGAGTTGGATTTGATGGATTCAGTACGATAGAAGAGACTCGGCATGTTATTTCCGGTCTACCTCGAACTCACTGACCACCCTTTGCAGAATCCGGCACCGGTTTCTCCTCCGGCCAATAATCCCGGTGAAGGCGATGTACGATTGCAATCGCACAACAAATTGGTTCGAGTCTAGTTATACATTATTCAAAAAATCAAATTTATATACTTGGCCCGTTGGAAAGAAGAATAAAAGTTTTTACCCCTTTTTTTTTGTCTGATTTTAATTCGACACTCGATCTTGTGTGAATCGTGTTTATGAAAAATAGGCCGAATTCATAAACATGTATCTCACTTATGTTGAGATTTTCCCTCAGTACTTCAATTACTAACATTTTCCGGTAGAATAATTGTACCATCCATCCTTTTAAACACTGTTGACAGATTTTGATAGACTTTTCTATTTAAATATTTTTAATTACATTCGTATTATAATGATTTTAAATAAAGAAATGAAAGACAAATTGTGTGTTAGTCTCATTTGTTTTCTAATGTGTTCAAATAACTTAAAGTAAACCACAATTATTCTTGAATATTTAAATTCTGAAAGAACACATGTATCCTCTATCAATAACCCACACAACACATCAACCAACGATATTTAAAAGAAATAAATCATGATTGATTCAATTATTCAATAAAAAAATAAAACCCTAACACGTTTAGAGATCTATTTATATATTTTGCCTGGAAAATGTAATAGAAACAAACAAATCGAAGCTTAAATTGATTTTTTTCTGGACTAATAACCAATCCAAACGTAGAATTATCACCATGAAAACTAAGTGGGGAAAGAGAAAGAAACCTTGAAAACAGAAAATTAGTATGCACTGTGATACAGATAAGTCTGGAAATACAATATGGTGATGGTGGTATTAAACCATCAGAATACACCAATTTATGGTAGTTGCACAGTATAACATAGAGTAAAACATACAATACATTACATTTCATCCAAGTCTTCTCTCTTCCTGAGAGAGTAGAGAAGGTAGATATGAAAGCAAAGAAAATTAGAAGGCGGTAAATGAAAGAAACAATTTGATCGATCTTTGATCCTTGAACGTCTTCGTTTAAAACCAGCAACTCATAATCTGGTTACTGGACTACTGCAGACAAAAGGAGCAACCTGGTCATAATCCTACTTCCATGACTTCAACAACCATTAACATCCATCCATAGCTGATCTTGCAAGCCTATTTGCCTCAGAAAAGACCTCTCCATCCTCATCGGCAAAGGGGAGCTAAGCTCCATCAGGATCTGTCAACCAAAATTAAAATGTGGATCAGAAACATAGCCCTCTCACTATTATGTTACTTCAGTTTCCTCTTAACAGTGCCAGGGAAGAGGGTCATCGTTATACTTTATGTTCAACAATGTCCAACTTACAACATGCAAATCAACTATGGACGACAACTGGAGTTGCAAGATTGTGGTTCCTAAACTCCCGATGAATGTCTTTAGCTTAAAGGGTTTAATATACAAGTCATGTTTACTTTTCTCCTAACAAACAGAATGATAAAGCATGTCATATGACCAATCATATTACAAGATGCTGAAAAATTGAACTTGACACTCGTAGCAATTGCAGAATAAAACACTACACTTTCCTCGTACTGATGCTCATGAACGAGCAGCATCAAATTGCAGAAACTGCATAGAGTTCCCTCAGAGCAGCACTTGAAGAAATTGCAGAATGCAACCAGTAAAATAGAACACTATACTCTTTAGTGATGAAGCACATGAACTGACTGCAACACAACTAGTAGAACCATCGAGGTGTGCACAAACTGACACGAACACCACTGTTATCAAAGATACAATTGAACCAACTGCAACACAGCTACCCACCCAAAAAATAATAAAATGTGAATGATAGCAGGAAGAAGCACAACCCCAATGGTTGGCACCATCAATGCAAGTACCATTCAGAAGACTTTAAAGTGGTTCAAAAGAAAAAGAAAATAGCTTCTTATTATGAACAAAAATCTTATTTTCCACATTTATGGACCAGTTTTTTGTCTCAAGCACCGGATAAACAAACAGATTCTATAATTGGACCTGCCTGCAACATACATGAGTAATAGCTGCACTTGCACATGAAGTCATGCTCCGTATGGGCATGGCTGGAAGGAAGGTTGGAAATTAAGCATATGACCTCCATCGCGGGGTTGACTGATCCAATGCACAATAGAGTGAATTCTATGTGAACTGCAGTACAAACCCCTTTCCTGTGTGCTGATGGCAAAGAGGTCTGTGACAGATTTTTTCAAGGCCTAGGAAAGACTTAACAAACTCTCTAAAAGCTTATATCCCTCTTCTTCACTTCAAGTGTACATCTTGAATGAGCTCAGAACATATCTGAGGAAAATTCAAGCACCCTTACCCATGACAGAGTGCAGAGTTCAGAAAAGCTATAGTAATTTAACTAAGTAAAGAGGTACTCATCATAGACTTGGATACACAAGTTGCCAAAAGAAATATCGGCCTACCTTCTTACACTCTCAGAAATTTGTTGCAAGTAGAAATGTAGATTGTGGTCCATCTTACATTGGATGCATCCCACAATCCATTGATGGAACATGATAGACTATCTATATTTCCTAGCATTTCTACTAGTCAAAATTAGGCAACATTATTTAGATCCATCCTCTGTCTATTAGATGTCAGCTTTGTAAAGAGGCGAGATCTAGAAGTATTTATTTCATAGAATCACCCAAACGTGTATATTAAATGGTTAATACATTCATTAGCCCCCGTACAAAGATGCCATGGCATCTAATAAATAATATTTCTTTTCTTTTGTTTGTCCAATAGTGTTGTTATGAATACTTTTGACATTCAACTTTTTGCTATTTACAGCGATACAATAGCATTTGTCAACATGACCTCCATAGTTCATACTCCATGGAAACCTACACAGATATCTGGAGCGCCACCTGTCTCGACAAAACGAGGGGGACTGAACTGCTTCTGGTTTGATGCTGAGAAGTTGATAAATTTGATTAAAGTATGTATTTAGTAATTAATAGGGTTGTTAAATTTGAATGGCGTTTCAAGTTCTATTGTAAAAGGCATATTTTGTAATTGATAGGGTTGCTAATCCCCAACTTTAGACTTAGGGTAGTTATTGATGGCCTTGGTCATTTTTTGTCGTAAAGGCCACACTTTTCGTATTTTGGTAATTCATATATTTGTTAATTCCCTATTGTTAGACTAGCAATAGTGATGAATGACATTGGGCATTATTTTGTTGTACTATGTAATCAACACATTTGCTAGTTCCCTGACTTCTCTTTTTTCTGTCTAGTGTTTAAAGTCGTCATTTTCCTTTTTACTACCTACTTGAGTTGAACATCTTTTGAAAACAGTCTCTCTACCTCCACAAGGTAGGAGGTAAAGTTTGCGTACACTCTATCCTTCCAACACAATAATAGTAAAGACAAGGCATAAAATATTCAATAGGTGGGTGTTCAATTATCTGCATAGTTTAATCCTAAGGTCCAAGAATGTAAATAAGTTGATCCCTTTTAGACGTTCTAAGCTAGGGCTGAAATAGGTCAAAATGAGGTTGCCGATTGCATTTTTAAGTTAATTTTATTTGAAAACCTTTCGGGTTTTATGTTACTTATATCTATACAGCCCGACCCTAACGGATCAATAGTATTTAGTTTTGAGGGATACTTTTAGGTGATTCTTTGAAATAAAAGTAGAGTTAGGGTCTTGTTCTTGAAAAGAAAAATCTAAGGATAAGGTAATATAATTAGCGAGACAATAGTAGTAAAGACGAGACATAAAAGTCAAAACATAACTGTGTTCATGCCTTATTTGATTGACTACTATCTATCTATGAAGCCTCTTAAACTAAACATTTGAGTATTGACTTGTTGCAATTCTAAGATTTGTGAGTGTGTTTCATGATTGGAAAGAAAGTTTTTGGGTGAGCAATAGTTTTTACATCTATCTTCAACTTCAAAAAGTTCTTCAAACATATGTGATTTTCTTTATTAATTTTGAACGAAACACCTCATTTCAAATAATGATAATATTACCTTCACTTTTTGAAAAAGATTTGCACAAACAAAATCCCTAAAAGTTTCCTCAAGAAACCGAGTGAAGTTCTTTGTCACACTTTTTCAACCAAAAAGCCTCCTCCAAGTTCCAACTGACATAAACAGAACTTCAAAGCTACAGTTAGGCAAGTTCTATTGTATATAAAAAAAGATTCCAAAGGTTATTCATAAAACCAGCAGGCTGAATTTAAAATGAATCACAACTTTTTTAAGACACTTTCTTCAAAGCAGAAAGAGGGAATGAAACACCAAAAAGACATTTTGAGATAAACAAAATTGAAAAAGCATGTTTGAGTTAAGGAAACATGTTTCGTTTGCTAACTACTTATATTTTTAGGAAACACAAAGAAACATCTACAGAATGTTTGTGATAGACGGTTAAATGCCGATGACACAGAAAAAGTGGGAAATCCACCACATCCCCGGACATATTTTCGCGAGATATTCAGTGAAGAGAAACAAAGCCTGCTAAAACCTTCTCTTATTTTTTATCATAAAGATACAACGTATTTTCAGCTCCATTTTCAAGTTTCTTTTTTTGTTAGTGCCTATAATACTACAGCATTTTAGTATCCTGTTTTGTTATTTACTCAATAAGAAAGAAAAGTATGCTGATAGTTGACACTGCAAGCATAGGACCTCACAAAAATCTGAATTAAAAAAGGGGACCGTAAATGTGCCCTTACGAACATTAAGACAGAACTTTGTTAACCTCAAAACATGGTGACCCGTTTTTTATCATATTTGTGTGTGTGGGGGGGGGGGGGGTTGGGGGGGTAACCAATTATAGGAAAGTAAACGTTGCACTTATTTGATTATTAGTGATTAAACGTTGCACTTATTTGATTATTAGTGATTAAACGTTGACTCACAAAATCTTATAATAAGCATCTACGATCAAGACAAAAGCCTGAATTCGCATACTATAGGGTATGTGGCCTTACAAGCGTTGAACTATATATTACTTGCCAATCAAAGGCAATAACAAAGATAAATCCAAAGATGAGTAAAGGATAACAACTCGAACCTATATTGTACTATCAGATGAAAAAAGTCAAATCAAACCTATATATACTCTTCCCTCCAAATAATATCGAATGAAACTTTTTCTCATGTTTGTCAAGGAAAACAACCTTATTGATTTCTCTTCTCTACCTCCACGAGGTCAGGGAAAGGAGTATACGCTCTACCAAACAAGCTCATAATAAACAAAATCACATTCATGAAATTAGTTTAAACGTAATTCACAGATCCAAATGAATATCAAAAGGGACTACTTCACGAAAATTGGGCAAATTGAAACGAGATAAATACAAAAGAAATATATTCTTCTCAGTTGCTCCACATCTCTACAAAAGTTCCCAACAGCATGAAATATGAATATGTAAGATGTCAAATGATGAGGAATCATACCATGATGCCATCATCCACTAGAGTTGGGCCGAGCTCCGCTAGAACTAGGCCGGTTCACAAAGTTCACAGAATCAGCTTCACTAAATCCTCTCCTCATTCGATCATACCCACCTCCAGATTTCGGCCTACCGTTGTCTCCGTACCTATTAGGTGACGACCCAAGATATCCCTGATGATAATGCTGACCACCCCCAACCTCCGGTCTAGCCCTCACTCCCTGACCACCCTTCGCAACATCCGGGACCGGTTTCTCCTCCCTGCCTACAAATCCCGGTCTCAGATGTGGGGGCACGAACCGGTTCGACTTTGGCAAAGGCGACTGCAAAGGTGAAGGCGGATTCACAGGAGATGATGAAAGTGAGGTGGTGGTGGTGGGTCCAGCCCCAGTACGGCCTTGTGGACGAAGCGAGATAGAGTCAGATTCAGCTCCAGCTCCAGCTCGGATTTGATCCGGTGCGCTCGGGCTTTGTAACTTTGGTTGTTGCTGGATCGGAATAGGCTGGGTTTGTGGAATAGCGATTGGCTTTGGAGTAGGCCGGCTCAGAACAAGCATATGTCCATGGATACGAGAGTTGGAGATAATAGTCTTGTTACGACTATCGAACGACGACGACGAAGAAGAGTTTGATTTACCAGAGGTGGCGGAGTTGGGAGTAGTTTTCTTCTCGTAGATGTCGTTAAAGTTAAGGGAGGTATATTTATTGGTTCTTGCCATCCACCGCCGCCGCCGCGTTCCGCCGTGAAAGGAGAGGAAAATGTAACTACCGGTGATCGGAAAAAGAGAACAAATGGCTTTTACGATCTCGTTTTTTGGGATCTGTGAGAGAAAAAGGGAGGAAGGAAGAAATTAAGTGTAGGGGATGTGCACGTTATATCGGTGGGGCTTTGCTTATTAGGGACGATATGTGACGTGGCAATAATATTGATGTTGATTGGTGATGATGAAGTGTCTAGATCTTATGGCACGTGTCATTTTTCTTTTCTTTTCCTTTTTTACTTTTAGGTGTTTGTGGCAATTTTGTTTTTCTCTTCTTTTTAAAAAATTAAACTATGTTTTGATTATGAACGAACACTTGGAGCCATTCTAACATATTTAATATGAGGAATAAAAAATAATAATTTCGAGATATAATTATACTTTTTTGTATTTAATTACGAGTAATAGTTAGATTCCACATTATATATTTTATTATTTATATCATAATATATAAAATAAGAAATGAAATGGGGTGTGAATTCATCTTCATTAGTTCAAATGAGAAAGGGGATGTATTCCATATATATAATAGGATAAAAATCTATAAAATAACTTTATCAATTTCATATTTAATAACAAATAAATTGGGGTATATGTTGATCAAATTAACTATGATGACTAGGAGGGTGTTTGGATAAGTTTTTAAGTAGATCAAATTAACGTATGATATTTTTAATTTATTTATATATTTGATAAATTAGTAAAGTGAAATTATTTAAAAGCTAAAATTAATTTTACTAAATCAAATTAAATATTAAATATTTACTTGTCATTAAAAAAGTTTAAATATATCTCAATTGCTTAAAACAAAACAAATGCAAATATTGTTTCTTTTTTTATTTATTAAAAATAAAAATCACCACCTAATTATCAATTTCAACGTTCACATTAACTACTCATATCTATAAGAGTTCTAAGAGAAATTTATTTCTCTTCGTTATGAGTATTTTTTCTATAGGCTAACTTGATCTTTTCAACTACTGTTATTTGATTTTCTTTTTTAACACTCTTCGTGTTCGTCATTGAATAGTAACACATTGCTCACATTTTAACTACATTATTATAACCAAAATATTGTATACAAATTTATAAAATTTAACCAAAATATTGTATACAAATTTATAAAATTTAACTTGATGTCTTCTTCAACCTCCGCTCGTACTGAATTTTCCCTCTTTCTCTACATCTTATATATTATTACAATTTTATCAAAATGTGTAAATAACGCACACTAATCACTAAATAATCAAATATCCATTGAAATAGTTTGTCTATTTCTTTTATAATTTTAGAGTCAGGAGGAGACCATATTCACCAAAAAGTATAAATAGCACACACTAGTGACTAAATGATCAAATGTACACTATAGTTTGTTTATATCATATAATAATCTGTAGAAGCATTGATTCATATATGTAAAACTTTTTAGTGATAGAATTAAAATAAGTTAATATTTATTAAAGATCTACAAATTTCTTCAATTAATACAAATTTAGGTATAAATAGGACAGTAAAAAAAGTTTCATGAAAGAATATTTTTAATAAATTGAAATAGGAGTTGAACTTGATAGAAACTTATATTCTTATTAGGGAAAAGGGTCTCATATACCCCTCAACTTTGTCATTTGGGGCTAATATACCCCTCTTTATAAAAGTGGCACATATATG